GCGTTACGTATTGTTATCACTCTTTTTTACGTTAACCTCGTAATATTTCCTTCTCTCTTGCCTAACCAAGAGACATCTATGTTCTGAATAATGAAAAATGTTTCCCGCGTGTTGTATATCGATTTAAATAAACTTTTTTAGGAATTATTGGTAAAGGAAAGTTTTAAATGATCAATGAAAAATAAGTGTTTGTCGAATAATAACAACAAAAGAATATGATTAAAAAAAGTAAAAAGTGTTTCCCGCGTGTTGCATATCGATTTTAATAGATTTCATTTGGAATCATGAATGAAATTATGTTCTAGATGATTGAAAGAAAAAACAATTATAACAAATATCCAAAATTGTTATAAATTTTGTGGTTGGCTTCAAATAATGTCTTATTGAAATATCATATTTTTCACTATTTTCATAAGACATTATTTCATTGAACTTTTTTCTATTTCAGAAAAATAAAAAACTGGCTTGGCAAAGTAATAAAAGAGCAGAAAATACACCTATGTAGCATAGGAACTACCTAAAATTGTTATAAAGTTTTAAATTTTCGAAATAAATAAAAATAAAAATTAAATAATTTTTAACGTTGTTGTCTTGAGACAGCGCGCTCGGAGAGCGCGCGTTGTTTCTAGTTACCTTATTGAAAAAAAAAATTAATTTGGAAGAAGAAAATTTTTTTGGAAGTTTGGTGACTGTCTCCAAAATTCCACTTTGATCGCATGAAATATTACCAAACTTCCACTTGCACGTATATATACTACTATATGAATTTCTGGTGTCTATCTGTCTGTTCGGGGTAATCTCCAAAACGGTTAATTCGATTGCGACCAAATTTAACAGATATGTAGAGGGGGTTGTTCGGAAAGTTATATGCTACTTTTTGTTAATGTGAATTGTTTATAACAATTAAATTTGTTATAAACAATTGAAAACAGGATTTATTCAATATATTCGAGATCTTTCAACGGGAAATTTTTTCTTTTACTGAAACAATGTTATCCACTGTGTAAAATGGATATAAACATACTTCTTTTGTTCGTAACATACCATTTGTTGTAAAAGAACAGAAATTGAGTTTTACGATCATTTCCTTTCATCATCAGTAAGAGTGCTCCTGTAACTGGAGGAGTTACCCAGTGAACACAGAATGTAAATGTGATATAACAAGGAAGTAACAAGTTACGTAACTTTTTTGACTTATAGGTGACATAACAATTATATCAAATTTGAGTTTTATGATATGTACCTAATTGTTACTTCTATGTTACGTATCAGTTACATGGCATTGTGATTGTAGTATAACGTCACAATTGTGACGGCTATATTATGTCCTCGTGACCAAACAATGTTACTTTGAAAAAAACGTCACAACAGTGACTCTTATGTTATGTTTATGTTATGTCGCAGCCGTTTCCTCAGTGTAACATAGCATCAATAAAATGAAATAACATCAGTGTAATGTAACTTACGTTACATATGTTATATAGACACTGCGATACATGAATTATTTTGCATTGGATATAATATTTTGTTACATAACTTAGTGATGTTGCTTATATGTTTATGTATATGCTTATTTGTAATACATAACTTATGCTACATAAATGGAACATTAATGGTACATAACTTTGTTACAAGTGTACTATGGTAAATGTATACATGGATGTTATTATATATAACGTTCACGTTTTAATCTTCAATATCCGTTATTAGGTAAAAAATTAAAAAAACTAATTGTCATAAATCTATTTTTTGTAACAAATTTTGATATTTCCTCAGTTATTCTGTTCCTTTTAGATTCTTGAAGAACAGAACTCATTATATAATATGGTTCTTAACCGTATATCCGACATTTATCGTATTTTTCTGTTACTTTTCTTTTTTTTATAGATTTCAAAATTATTTTGGAAGTTCGGTGACAGTCACCGAGTTTTTGTAAAAGATCTATTTTCTGCAACAAATTTTGATTTTTCCTCAGTTATTCTGCTTCCCCTAGATTCTTGAAGAACAGAACTTATTATATTATATGGTTTTAACCGTATATCCGACATTTATCGTATTTTTCTGTTACTTTTCTTTTTTTTATAGATTTCAAAATTATTTTGGAAGTTTGATGACTGTCACCAAACTTCCATAATCGTTGTAGGGAAGTTTGGTGACAGTCACCAAAATTCCAATTCGTCACCAAACTTCCACTTTGGTCGCACAAAATGTTACCAAACGTCCGCTTGCATGTATATATATATATATATATATATGTATATATACTTCTACTGTTATTCAAGAGGAACGCTTCAACTACATAGCTATAGATATTATATCAACGTTACTATGTCAGTAACACGGATGATTTGGTGATGTGAACTTACAAGTTTGTCCCCTACTAAAAATTGCTCCAACGCGCCTAAAGAAGTTTTCACTTCAAAAAAAAGTGAAATCCGCACAAAACAGGCATCTAGGAATGCCTGTAAAAACTGGCGCCAAGTCCACATTCAAGTAAAATTAGGTTAGTTAAAACGCCAGGTTAGCTGCGTCTTTTTTCATAATTTTTTCAAACTAGCAATGTACTATTGACTTATAAAATTTCAGTTAATTTTGAAGTACCAAAAAAAAAATCTTCAAAACCAAAAAACTATGGAACTTGGCCCAATTTTGTCTTTAAAGTCTGCCCAATTCAGTTTCAAATGTTCTTACGTAGGAACTATAATATATGGAACTGTTGAAAGAATTTAAAAAATTGGGCCAAGTTCCATAGTTTTTTGGTTTTGAAGATTTTTTTTTTGGTACTTCAAAATTAACTGAAATTTTATAAGTCAATAGTACATTGCTAGTTCGAAAAAATTATGAAAAAAGACGCAGCTAACCTGGCGTTTTACTTGATTTCACATGTTTTTTTGATCTTACCTTTTTTCCATTTATACTAATTTTACTTGAATGTGGACTTGACGCCAGTTTTTACAGGCATTCCTAGATGCCTGTTTTGTGCGGATACAACTTATAAACATAAACATGATGTCAGAGATAATGTGTTAGCTGTGTGGTTAGAACACCAGGCTTTTATTATACCGATGAGGGTTCGATCTTAGTCATAGCCAATTTTTTTTCATTAAAATTTTATATAAATGCAATAATTGGTTGTTTATATTAGTTCAAAATCAATTCCTATTGTCTTTTCAAGACAACATTTTCGAAAAAACAGAATTCTCAGTAACTCGTTCCTCACCCTCAGCTTATCTTCAGAATACCCCCCACCGAGGGCATACTCTCCCTCAGCGTTCATTAATTAAAAGAATTATAAAAAAAAAACTTAAATTCTTATAAAGAATCAATTTTGGCTTATTAAAATTATAATTACATTCAATTCCACTGAAAAAAAAAGAAAAAAAAATTGGCCGAGATCGGGATTGAACGCTGCTCGGTAAAATAGAAGTCTGGTGCTTTAACCACAAAGCCATCATATTTCCAATCAAAATTTCATGTTTATTCATCTTAAACTACATGCTTCGATCCGTATACTTGGAATTGAGCTCGCTTGTTGAAATTTATACCTAATAGAAATAATAATAATGGATGAATATATGTATTTTAAGTTATTTTCAGGTATTATATTAATTAATGTTCAATGAGTATCATAACGAATAAAGTAGAAAAAAAGTGATTATGACTGGGATCGAACCCTGCCCGGCAAAATAGACCTCTGACGCTCTAACCACATGGCCAGCATAATCTCGGTATTGAGTTTATGTGTATTTGTTTTTACACTACATGCTTGGATACGCCGACTTGGAATTGAGCTTCTTTATTAACATTTATACCTAGTAAAAATGATAATAATGGATGAATATATGTATTTGAAGTTATTTGCAGATATTATATTAATTAATGTTAAATGAGTATCATCATTTTTATTTATTCTAACTGCAATAGTCATCAAAGTATAAGGCATTGTGAAGTGATACACTATGTTTACATCACATACATATATTAGACGTACACACTCATACACAAATTACTCACCAAAATGCAGGGCACCATCAGTTCTGGATACGGATTGAGCATTTTTTCAATATGAATGACTGAGGTCATCTGCGAGCATAATGCTGTCACCTATCAGAATTTTTTCAAACTAATTTTCCGGAGAATATCATCTGGAATACAAGATTTCTAATTATTTCTAAATTATTCAATTTTATACTATGAATTGATTTTTTTAACATTCAGACAGGTGGCAAGGACTGACGCAAACACGAATTTTGGGCGAAAAACGTATAAAAATGAAATAATTAGTGATTTTTCATCTGAATGATGTGGCCGCCATCTTGAAATTTAAGCGCGGTAAGTCAATTCATAATTTTTTCATTATTCTTTCTAATTTTTTTAATAAAAATATTCACTATATACAAAAAATTGTTGTTTACGTCAGTCCAGCATTAATTTTTCTGTAATTTGGTACCTAATTTTATAGAAATAATCGTAAATTGGCGAAGAAATTAGAAATTTCCCGAACCCATATATTTGGATAGGGGGAATCAGTCGCCTTTCTGACTTCAGCCCAGCCTTAATCAAAAAAATTTTTAACAGAGCTCAGAGGAGTTTGGAAAGAGAACAAACTCTTCCTCAAATTAATTTTAGAAACATTTTAGTCGATGATTTAAAATTTTCCTTTGTTTTTGTAAAGTATTGGAAATACTTTAAGCAATATTTGTTTTTTTGTTGAGCTTCTGATTGTTAAAAATAATTGTAAGAAAATGAGTTTCGGATATTTGTAAATTGAATCTAAATGAAAGAAACAAGAGATGGTAAATATTAGAAAGAAAAATGGGAACTTTTTTATTAGAGATGAGATACATGTAAAATAATTCCTTTCTTATAGAAGTTGAAAATGTTGAAATTTTACGATGAACACACCTTATGCGTGTTATTTTAACACGTTTGTAGAATGTTGGAATTTGCAATTTTTTGTGTATAGAAAAAATTAATAAAACAATGATATTTATTGAAAATTGGCGAAAAATATCTTTTATTATGGCTCTTGAAAAACTTTATTATATAAAAAATAGGTCTTCATAGTTATGAAAATCTCAAAAAAATAAACAATTCGTCAAATTTTATATCAAGTCTCTTGTTACTTTAATCAATCACATTACTTGAATAAAATATTTATAATCTCACTAAAATAGTCTAATTTAAATCTCGGGAGTAAAGTCTAATATTTCAACTACGAGAAAATGATCTCTTTGAGTTGAAGGCAAGGGACGAAATTTGATTGATTAAAGAATTTTACATCTATTCTCATAATATGGATTTCATTTTTTGTCATATGGCTATGAAAAGTTAGATTTTAAAATAAAAAGTTCACATAGGAATATGATAAAAAATTTGTCAATTGGGCTCACTATTTTTATCATGATTAATACTATCTTTGTTTAAAATTTGCATTTCAATGTCTTTAACACTACCATTTTTATTAGAATCTATTAAAAATGGTGTTTCCACATTCACTTTATCACTAGTGTAATTTTCAACTTCTGAATTGTTAATCAAATTCTGATCTTTCACAACCTTTTCGGTAACTTTCGGCACCAGACGCTCGTCCATTATTTGCAGCCAAATCATGGCGATTATCAAAGTCACTCCAGTGATACCAAAAGTGTGATATGTTCCTAAACGGGTGTAGATAAGTCCCATAAACACCGGGCCTAATACACGTGAAGCACATCCAGCACCGGTCATCAGACCCATCCAGACACCTTGAGGACGCGGGCCAAGAATTTTACTGAAAATCGTCTGGACCAGAGTTACACCCACTGGATAGCCGATTGTTGTGAAGCCATAGCCAATCACGAACTGGAGAACTGTCATCCGAGGAGTGTATCGACACCATTCCTGGTCACTGGGACAGCCAACTATTTCGGTTCCATTAAGGAATGTAGTTCCATTGATAATATCTAGAGAAAAGTAGTTCGTAAGTTGATGAAAGAATGTGATATCAATCGTTTAATAGAGACTTGAGCAATTAATTATGTTTCACCATTTTTTTCGGCAATCAGAGGTGTATCAGTACCCCAAGGAATGCAGACAATTCGGCCAATTAACATGAAGAAAAATCCGACCCAAATCATAATTTTTCTTTCGGCAAACCTGGATAAGATAGACATTGCATAACATTAGAAATAACAGAAAAAATTTTATAATTAAAAAAAGATTTTCAATGTGCGTCGTTCGTCTGTTAAGATATAGATGGAGACATATAACTATTTTACAATATTATAAAAAAGCTTGCTTACAGTAGACATATTAATTAAAGGGGTCCCGAGTCAAAATAGAACACCTAGATTTATTCTTTTTATGTTATTTTCGCCCTTTTCACTCTAGATTCAACCTTTTGAATCTACTATTACATTGTTTATTTTTCAAGTAGATGAAAATTAGAATGAAATAGGCAGTAGAGCCTAATTCCAACCTTCTGATTCTAATTTTATTTTTATTTCAAATTAAATCTTTGAAAAAGATAGTCTAGCATAAAAATAGGTATTATATTTTGATTAGAAGTCTTTTAAGATTATCATCATTGTTAGCAAACAAAATAGATCTTCGAAATGTTTAGCTCAAACTTAGAAATTTAATATTAGACAATTTGATTTAGAGCTAAGGTTGATGACTTTTTATTCAATTTTAGAAACTTACTTTCTGCATAACGGTCCAATTATTATAAACATAACACAAGCAATGATAGCACCAATGCTCAATAAGAGACCTATGTAGTAAAGCGACTCTTTTTTCGTCCAAGCAAATTGATCCATTGTCAATGGTGTGCCGAGTCTAAAAAAATATTTTTACGTATAATAATTTTGTTATAACTTATTGCCATGATTTTTATGATTGAAACTGATGCTGAAGTCAATTTGCTTACGTTTCCAAGAGAACAAAGTTGAAAACCAAAATGAAAAATGCACAAATTAATGTCCATACTACTAAATAATCAGGCTTCATAGCTTTCCATGTTTCTTTTTCTAAGAAAAATTAATAAATTATCAGAAAGGAGTTCATTTCATCATCAATAGTTATAGTAGAAAATGTTACCTGATGATTTTCCTTGATCCCTCATCGCTTCTCGAGCAGCTATTTTGCGCTCGACAAAATTCCACGGCAAGAAAAGGAAGAAATTGAGGATTCCCATGAATACATTTATCCACCCAGCCATTGTGTACATATTGAAGGGTAACCCGAAAAGAATAAAACCATCATTACCAAGCGGTGTTACTGCTGACTGGAGTCCAGGACCGACAACGAAACCTAACACCTGATTTTAGAGATTTAATTATTTTTTACCCGTTGAAGTTTATAAATTTATGAATTTTACTTGAGCCAAAGAAACCATGGACACTGCTTGGGTCCTTTCTGATAGTCTAGTTGCTGCTGAGAGGTAAGATCTTGCTACTGCAATGTTTGCTGGGGAAGAGAAAAACAGCTTTTATTTATCGTCAAGAAGTCAAAAGGTTATTGGGAACATTTAGAATTGGTATTTATTATCAACAGTTGGAAATAATTCATTCTTCGTGATCAATTAGGGATTGAGTGGTGATTAATTTTTAGAAACATTAATACTCTCTGCATGATTGAAAACTTTAGGAAATATTCTAAAGATCGCAAAAATAATAAGTGATAATGAAAAAAATGCTTCAACTCAGATCAAAGGGCAAAATTATCAAGAAACTACTGTTAGACCTAGTTTTTTGAGATTATCTCATAAACTATGAGAGATACAGAAAAAAGTTTTAAACAAAAATGGAATATCTTTTAATTTTCCACAAAAAAGTATTTAGAGTTTATTCCCTATCTCTCACAGTTTAGCTACCAAATAACAATAAAGATCATGATAATCAATTGTTAATATTTTTCCACTTTTGTCACCATGTTATAGCAAAATTATGAGAGATAGCAAATAAAGTCTTTAGATCTTTTTTATGAAAAATTAAAAGACCGTCAATTTTTGTTTCAACTTTTTTTTCGTATCTCTGATAGATCACGAGCTAACCATGAAAACCTGATTTTAGAGTAACTATTTTCAGCAACTCCAAAAATATTTCCTAAAATTTTCAACCCTGCTAAAAAATCCTGACTTCACAATATTGATGACTGGATTAAAAGTAGTCCAACTCCAAGGATTCATGTTGATTTTGAGCCAGTTGTTTGTGTGAATACTCTACTTACATTCCTTTAATTACAGCTCTCTTATCTCTTGTACTTAACTCAACGATTATAACTTAGGATTAACATGTTCATTCAAAAATTTTCTCAAGTTATCTTGTACTTGTGATTATTAATGTAATTAAAAAAAATTATCTTTTTTTGGATAATATTTTTCGAATTAATTTTGGTTGAAGTCGATATATCAATCCGTTCTTGAGATATCGAAAACGAAAAGAATGCTGACGTTCATACAAATGAAATATGGAGATTTAATTCAAATTTCACCAATCGACCCAATTTCAATAACTTCCTAACGGGAAATTAATAAATTACATTCCTTAATTATTAAGATTAATGAGAAATCTAAATTTAATTAATCCAATCTAAATAATCAGAACTGATGAAAATAAAATTCTTATCATTCAGATCAAGCAGTTGAAGATAAAAGTTCTATTGGTGCTTAAAAAACATAGAGAGAATGGAACAATGATCATAAAATGTGATAGATAAGTAACATAATCTACCAGAACTAACGCCTACTAAGAATCTTCCTGCTATCATCCACGTTTTTTTATCCCCAGGAATAATCTCCAACGTGCTGTAGATTCCTGAAGCTATGACAAAAAGTGCTAAAGTGATGAGAAGCGGAAGTCTAACGGATCCTCTTTTATTTCCCCACCAACCAACCACTGGAGAGAATAACATTTGACCCAATGGATTAGCTGCTACCACATAGCCCATGAATTCTTTGCCAGCAGTTGGATCTAACTGAAATTGAAATATTCATTGTGAGTTCATTAGATGCCAAACAACATTAATTTTAAATTATGTTTAATTATTAATACTTTATCTAAATATGGCCAAACTCCAGTCAAGACGATACTGAAGCCCAACGACATTAAAAACATGGTAAAATAAATTACATAAATGCTTCTCCATCGTTCTGACCTCTCGGTTAAGGTCTCAAGATCATCATTCAACTGTGGTTTCTTTTTCTCAGAAATTTTCTTACGAATCCAATCCATTTTTCTAGCGCTTCTTCAGGTATTTATAAGTCTCTAAATATTTTTCTTTTTTTATTTATGTTGTTACCTTAAGTATTTAAATAATAATAGATAACTTTTTTGTAAATATTTTTTTTAGCTTGTTGGAATCTCCGGACATTGGACTGGCTTTTATCATTATGCCAACATTATAATAAGTTGTTGTCATCTAATGTTCTCTCTATTATTAACTTCCGATAACAGTAATCTTTTTGCTGCCATTTTACTGAATTCCATAAACTAACGTACTTTAGACACTATAGATATAAGTCAAAAAAGTATCTGAAAACAACAGAGACAAGTTTTTTTGTAAGTGAATCATTCAAAATACAATCTGTAGAGGAGAAGGTAGGATTATGGTCCAGTCTTGAATGTGGTCCACTCGTTTATTATGCAAGCACGGTGCATCTTTCATCAGCTAACCCATAAATATATTGAAAAATAACTTCTTGGCATTAAACAGAAACTTCAAAAAGTAACAATTGGTGATAATTTAACAGAGTAAAATGTAATTAAGTAAAAATAAAAAGTGATTCATAATCCTAACGTCTCCTCTATTTAATTGAAAGCCAAATAGAAGATGACTTGGATAAAATTAACATTTAAAATTATAAAAAATAATAATTTGAAAGAGTAATTTTTTGGCATTTCTATCAATCTATTAAAATATAGTATTGACATCCATTCAATCTAAATATTTACCTTTCACTAGTACCTTACGTGAAGGTGCCAAGGCTCAACGAGTGCATCAATGCTCAGTACTTTGATTTGTAATATTTTGTGTTTAATTTATAATTTTTGTTTTTATAATAAAATAAATTTTAGACAAAATTGATTAACCGATTTAAACTTAAACTCTAAACAATTAACATTACGTCAAATTCTATAAAAAATAATAACTAATGAAAATGAAATTTTTTTTTTAAACATTGGTATCTTTACTTCAAATACTTCAATTCTTCACAATAAACTACTCTAACTTCCATAAACTAGAGTTAAAAAAAAAACAACTTTGTTAGGCATTGTGAAACATTTTTTGCTCAGAAAATATATTTATAGGTTGATTATCATAAATAATTCTTGCATGTAAGATTAAAAGTGCAAGAAAAAACTTTTTTCCAACCAGTTTTCATGAGATGTTTTGCATAAATAAATTAATAACATGTTTGGACTTAGAGTCAACCTAATTAATTTAATCAGCACTAAGACCTATTTCCGTTCTCAAATGTATGATAATATCACTATTACAATTTGATTCATGCGGAAAAGCAACATTTAATTTTTTTTATTAGCTAGTTATTTATTATTTAACCTTCAAGGTTTATTTACGTAAGTATTTTCACTAGAAAATATTGTATAGTTCAACTTCACGGCTAATTAGAATTTAATCATTCACCTTTTACCAAAAAACAAAATAATTTTGTCTGCTATTTTATAGTCAATACGTCCGTTACATCAACTGTTAATCATGAATTTGCATTCAAATAACATAAATATCACTATTAATAATGACTTTGATAATTATTATTAATGAAAAAAAAAAACGTTTTCTGTAAATTTATTTAGCAAAGGTTGTTGGTAATTTTAAACTTTAGATATGTCAGACTGAACTCACTATTATTAAACGTCAAGAGAATTCTAATGAATAAAATTTACTATTGGATACGATCCAGGTTATTGTAGCTCTTCACTTCTAACTCTTCGTCAGCAACATTATCTAAACGAAGATAAAAGTGACCAAACAACATATTGTTTTACGTAAAATCATACACAATTATAGGCACGACTACGGTTTCCGTGGCGCCACGAAATGACAATGAATTTCGATAGAACAGTCCAAAATAAGACGAAAATAGAGAATAAAATTTTTTCATATCTCACTTAGTTTTCGAGATATTGATACTTTAAATTTTTGATTTATATGGGCTTATTCATGGGCTTATACATGGGCATAATTTTGGACTACAGAATTAGAGGGTTCTCTCCGGTGGCGGCCTTTGGCCGCACCGTTTGATGGAAAAAAATCACCCTGCAAGTACATTGTACCAAGTTACAACAATTTTGCGAGTCAAAAAAAAATTGCGACGCCACAAAAACCGTAGTCTCCCCCAATTATATGCCAGTAAAACATTAACAAATCAGGAAATCCATGTTTTCAACAATTAATAACAGCAATAAATTGAACTATCAAAAAAACAACAAACTTTGATGGCACTCAACAGAAGAACTGATTTATCACTGAAAGATCACTGGATTATTTATTATTTATTTCATTTCAATGTCCCAACAACCATTTAAACATTTCACATACGCAACACTAGTTAATTATAAAATTGTACAAATGATAAGCACAGTAATGTTTTCTATTTATGAAAGTTTCAAGTGCAAAAAGAACACAAGAGATACACAAACGTGAAGAAGACAAAGACTCACGAGATATCAAACTTTACTGGCTGGCATCGTGCTGAGTTCAAACAGCACAACGCAACGTACTCACTTGTATACTCCCCACTCTTGTAACAGTATTTATCCTTGAGTTTACGTGCCATTCACATTCTCTGTATGCCAGTAACTACTATTCTTTGTTGCTATCAAATGATATACATTTAATGACAGCTAATAATTATCATCTCAAGTTCTATTTACATTTTCGTGCTATTGTATATTTGATTCTTATTTTTCGGTGTATTATGGAAAGACTTATTCACAAGGTGTCTGCTTGCAACTTTAACCATTGAGGAAAATAATATTCAGCTAATTACGGTTAATTTAGAACGGAAAGGATTTTTTTTAAATTACAAATGTGCTAATTATGGCATGGAATTATGCAAAGTAAAATTATTTATGAAGATCAATTCCTTCAAATGCTTTTATGACGCACTTTGATTTTTTTATACATTAAGAAATAATTTTTTTAATGTTTTTAAACCTCTACAAAATTAACAAAGTGGTAAATATTTTATTTAAACTAATTTTTTTGGTAGCATTTTTTACATTTACTTTATGAGAGGAAAAGAATTGCTTCTAACTTTGAATGATTTAGTCATTAATAATTATAATAAAATTCTTATCGACTTTAAATAAATATCAAACATAAACTGATAACAGAATGAAAATTCCTCCAACTGTTCTTGTTTCGAAGTATCTTGGAAGTAATTTTATTCATTATACGATGAACTTTCTATTCAAGCTGTCTTTTCATAATCTCATCAAAAACATAACAACCAAAAACTGGGCGTGACTGTTACTTATTAATGGATTTAAATATTTTCAATATAATCGAAATTTTATGCTTTTATAAAATCTTAACAATCACGCCAAGTTTTTAGTCGTTATGTTAATTGTGTCACAAGACGTACTGAATTTTTTTTCGAAAAAAACGGAAAAAAATAATTCATTTTGAATATTGTTAACTCTTAGATTCAAATACTTGGCGTTTAATGATTTCAAGACTCTTTGTGATTTCATCATTGTCGTTATTTATGCTTGGCGCACATTTTTTACAGCCCAGAGGGAGGGGGCAGTTTTTGATGAAATTTCTCAATTTTTTGTACATATTGTAAAATATTTGTATGTCGCCATCTAATGACTATTAGACTAACGACAGTTTGTTAGTTAACGGCGATTGCTTGACGATTAGATTGCTTATAGCAACGAGGGGAGAGTTTGTTTATCTCCAGTTTTTGACTGAGACTTGAGTTGACCGCACGGATTCTTCCTTTCTAATTAATTGCTGTCAATCTTTAATGAAAATTTTTCTTGATTATTTAATTTTTCAAAGTTGTTATTTGGTCTTATTTTACAATATCAAGCAAAGGAATATTAAAAAAATTCAAATTTATCTATAAAATACTTCAATAGTTTATGTATTTGCGTTAATGCAGAAGAAACTTGTTACCCACTTCATAATCCGTAAATAAGGAAACTCCATGGCAATCAAAAACTCTGATGACCAACTTTATAAAAAAAAACGTATGATTGACCTATGAATAAACTCTCATTTTACTCAATTTTTGCGAATCGAAATTTTTTCAATTTCGCATATTGTGAACGAAGCAATGATGATACTTCATAGTATGCTTAATCGAAAGCCAAAAATTACTTTTCGTATAAATTCTTGATTTCAACCCATGTTTATGTTAGAACATTAATTGTTACAATATAAATAAGCGATCTATCATTCACTCATTAAGAGATCTCCAGAACTATGCGTCCGATTTACTTAAAATTTGACATATAATTTTGCCTATCATTAGTCATATATTCATACTAGCTGATACCCACCTGTTGCTATCGTAAAAGTTGCCATAGGAGCTACTGCTATGGTAATTGTTCTCATAGTAACCGTTGCTATGGTATCAGTTGCTATAGTAAACATTAATACATTAATTTTTCAGTTTTAGAAAAATAAAATGACAAAAATCAATGCACTTAAAAATAACTTGAGAAAATGTCTCATAAGAAATTCAATAGTCATTTAATTGTTATAGTGAAAATTCCGCAAATGAAAGCGGTAGAATATCGATCAATATATTTTGTACACTGAGAAAAGAATTTATTAATAAAAGGATTAATTAACATGTTATGTTTATAAACTGAGAAAATTTTTCTTGAAAAATTAGCTATAATGTGTAGGTAAAATTTACCAAGCAATTTATGGTAAATTTGTAACAATAGACAGAGAGTGGTTCTCAATCTGCGTCGACTGTTGTGTTAATTAAATTTATAATAAATCCGGGTACCAGGCAGGAGGACAATCAGGTTCTACCTACCAAAAAATAAAATTATAATTAAAATAAATAACCTTGAACTATTTACTAAATATTGGACCGGCTAGCTTTTATAATCAAAGAAAAGATAAAGCGTGAGACTTCGTAGGGTATGTCACCGCTGGTGATCACTCAAACTCCGCTTAAATAATTAGTTTCATACATTCAGCATATTTAATTTACTTAAATCGTAATTTACTGCCAATGCAACGCGTCCACGTACCCGAAAGAAGTCCAAGTCACTCATACAACACTCTGGAATGCCGTCCGCTGGCTAACTATTCCCTCAATCCCGAGATATGTCGGGATTCAACATTTATTCATTACTTTGCAATGTTACAGCTCCAATGGGTCGTCGTATTCTTAATAAGAATTATCAATAAATTTAATTCGCGTCAGCCGCTAAATAACAGAATGTCTAAACACGATTGAATCGCTAACGATTCCTCGCAGACTCTTGCACGCAGCTTGACAGATTAAGTAAATAAATAAATCAATCAATAATATAACACGTAAATCATCAATGTTACAGAGCACGTAATTGGTTTCTCCGTGAATTACAATAACAATGCCAAAGTGGCTCAAAATATATTACAACAATTAATCAAGTATCAACGAGATTCATAATAGTCTCTAGAATAAGAAATATTTAAATATTAATCAAATAATTATATCAATCTAACATCGATCAAACGACTACTCATGAGTCTAGTGGAATAATAATTTCCAGTCTTAAGAGAGTTCGGGAGATACGGCACGACAAAGACTCGTTGCCGCCAAATTTCCTGACTACTACGGCGTTCCTTAATCACTCAATAAATTATACAATAAAAATTGCGTGACACACGCTCGCTATACAATAATAGTAGATCTATTAGCAGAATAAAGATACAGCTTACGAGTGACGTCCCACGTTGCACCCAGGGTCAGAAAATGGCTCCCTTTGTAGCTGTCGTTGATCTGCTCCACCACCAACGGCTGGATATCCAGGTTTACTGAGAACTTTCCCCAACGATTTCCTCCTGGCCACCAACGGCTTCTCCAACAGTGAGAATAAACCCGATGATACAATAGATCTTCTCTCAAAATTCACGAACATTCGCTTTTGTATAATTAATTGTAAGACTCACAAAACAGTGATGTCCTTTCGGCACAACAAGCAATGCCAAGTGACGTCTTTTCAACTAGACAGGCAACCACCGAGTGAAGCTTCTGGTAATCAATCGTTTATCCATGGCTTCTTGATTAGAAGTAAGGTAAAAAGCTTAATTATGCCTTTATCTATAATTTTAAATTTTGGATCAACTATTGATACTTTCATTGATTGAGAATTGGGTCGGTCGGTAATTATTGACCCGACCCTCTATGATAACCTTACGGGAGTGCTAGGTGTCGTCTCTTAGCTGACTATTTCCTCAGTCAACTAATAGAATAGTAAGGGTATATGAGACGGACGATCCTCACAGAGCACGTCGTGTTACAAATTGTACCTCAACTTTTTGTTTAAATAGAAGGAGAATGATTTTTTTTTGTCAGTGACGGGAGTTGCGGCCAGTTTTATTACTGTTTTCCCGGATATAAACAAGACTACGCTCACGTGTTCATTTATAGTTATCTGAATAGTAGGCATATGTAGTCAGGAAATTCTAATCCTAAGCTTCGCATTTATTTAACTAAGTGTTGTCCATTTTTTTCATAATGAATGAAAGCACAAGTTTTACATTGATTCGTAAATTGTCGCAACATTGAAACACATTTTGTCTTTTGTTTCAATGTTGCGACAAGTTTGAAAACAAATTTTCAAGGTTACGACAAGAATGAAAACAAATGACATTTCATTCATTTGAGTAGATAAAATGATTTCAATTAAATATTCATAATGTCGAAGAAATATTTTATTGCGACTATTTGAAATTTCGATGTTAATGATCGAATGAAATATTTTTTGTATGAAGTAAATTTTTTTCTCAGTGTACGGCTAAAAATTTTTTTTTGTGGAAAAATTTTACTAGAGTAAAACATGCTTGGTAAAAGTTACCCAGATGGTTCTGTAATAATTCATTGACACGCGTAGTGTGTAAAATTTCGCAGATTCTGAAAGTATCACACGGTTAACCGAAAGTTAAAGGCAATTTTTAACAAAAAAATTTCTTATTGTAATTAAAATTTTATATTAACCATTAGTAAATCTTACTTCAATTAAACATGATTTTTTCAATGTAGGTATTGATAATAAATTAGGATTATTAAAAAATGCTATTTTCACGACGAACCCAAATTATGTTCTTTAGAGCCAAAATATTTTTTTTTAACTTTTCTCTAAAGAAATTTACTAATGTAACATAAATAATATTCGACAATTTTAACTATTTACTATACTGCATAAGTGTATTTCATACTATCCTATCAGGCTCACAAGCCAGTTTTTAATCTTTTCCGAATGGACAATAGTTTAACATAAAAATATAGTATCGGTGTAATGACACTTTCGTGCCAAACTGTTTTATTATAAGCTTAGGTTAAATATGGTTAGGTTAAGTAAGTCCATATAGTGTTTTCCCGCGCGTTGCCACATCCCGAGTAGAATTTATTTGAGCATGCCTAAATACCTAATAGGCCCTTATTGGGCATGGAATGGGTTAGTGTAAATTAGGAATTTCTAACCTATAGTCCAGTCAAATGAGGGAAATGGGATAATTTTGGTTTGCTGCGGCCAAATTAATGATTTATAGATGACTGGATCGGAAATTTCGCGAGAAACACAATGGTGTAGGTTAAAATTGTTTGGCACGCATAGGGGGGGAGTAAATCGCGAAAAACCGCCCCCCCTCGCGAATTTCTCGATTTCTATGATAGATATGAAAAAATGTTTTAAATAAAAGTTGTTCAGAATTGAATTTTAATAAAAAAAGTACTGAACACTTTTTTTCATATCTATGATAGATAAAAAGTTATTCGCGACTGAAGCTTCACTATTGACAAAAGCTTCAGTCGCGTCTAAGAAAATTAATAAAAAATACTTAATGTTAGAAATATTACTTTTTGGCGATTTATTTAGAAAAAGGAGATATTGAATTTCATTTTTAGAGAAAAATTTTTTTTTTTCATTAATTTTTTCATTATTTTTATAAACAATGAATTATTTAAATCATTCCCATTTTTGGTTCAAATGCACCGATCAGCCCGATTTTGGGCTCAAAATGTGCAGAATTAAAAATGAAACATTTCATATATGCAAAGTTTTTCATTATTTTGCACCTGTTAAAAGTTATACAGGTATAAATATTTGGGCCCCCGAGAGCACTTTTCCTCTTCTGCCGCCGTTGGGTGCGACAGAGAGCAATACATATCTCTCTGCTTCACTCGCACTCACACAAAATTTCTGCGCATGCGCCGAGTATGGTAAAGCATGAGTGCGAGTGAAATGCTCACTCCAACCGTAAGTGTGACAAAGACACTATACGGTGAGTGGAGAGGGGATGTTTTGGGCACATGCTGGTTGCTTTAAAAATCTTTCCGAGCTCGAAATTTTTCAGCGCGAGATTTTTCCACACAATTATATCGATCAATTCAAAAATTTGCATACATGTTCTCAGAAGTGTCAAGAACATGTATGCACATTTTCAGATTTATTGAGGTAATTGTGTGGGAGAGATAAATTTTTTCTCTCCCGAATAATTTTTTTTTTGACAAAAAAAATCGGAAAAAAGTGCCCAAAAAAGTATAGCTAGATCGATAGGAAATTTAATTCTCTATCGATCTATATATATGATTATTGGATCTAAAATTGACAAATTTTCTCTAAAATTTAAAGCGCGTAAAACTTAGAAAAAATCTCGCGCTGAAAAATTTCGAGCTCGGAAAGATTTTTAAAGCAACCAGCATGTGCCCAAAACATCCCCTCTCCACTCACCGTATAGTGTCTTTGTCACACTTACGGTTGGAGTGAGCATTTCACTCGCACTCATGCTTTACCATACTCGGCGTATGCGCAGAAATTTTGTGTGAGTGCGAGTGAAGCAGAGAGATATGTATTGCTCTCTGTCGCACCCAACGGCGGCAGAAGAGGAAAAGTGCTCTCGGGGGCCCAAATATTTATACCTGTATAACTTTTAACAGGTGCAAAATAATGAAAAACTTTGCATATATGAAATGTTTCATTTTTAATTCTGCACATTTTGAGCCCAAAATCGGGCTGATCGGTGCATTTGAACCAAAAATGGGAATGATTTAAATAATTCATTGTTTATAAAAATAATGAAAAAATTAATGAAAAAAAAAAATTTTTCTCTAAAAATGAAATTCAATATCTCCTTTTTCTAAATAAATCGCCAAAAAGTAATATTTCTAACATTAAGTATTTTTTATTAATTTTCTTAGACGCGACTGAAGCTTTTGTCAATAGTGAAGCTTCAGTCGCGAATAACTTTTTATCTATCATAGATATGAAAAAAAGTGTTCAGTACTTTTTTTATTAAAATTCAATTCTGAACAACTTTTATTTAAAACATTTTTTCATATCTATCATAGAAATCGAGAAATTCGCGAGGGGGGGCGGTTTTTCGCGATTTACTCCCCCCCTATGCGTGCCAAACAATTTTAACCTACACCATTGTGTTTCTCGCGAAATTTCCGATCCAGTCATCTATAAATCATTAATTTGGCCGCAGCAAACCAAAATTATCCCATTTCCCTCATTTGACTGGACTACTATGCCTATTAAAAAGAACTTATTTTTGCATTTTTTTAAAAACAATCTTTCCATTTTAACCCCCTCTAAGAAAATACCCTATGCGACTTTTTAAAAAAATGCAATAATAAATTATTTTTGATCAACTCAGTTTTTTATTCTGAGTTGATTAAAAATATTTTATTTCTGCATTTTCTTAAAAAGTGACAGAGTTTTTTTACTAACTTAACTTCATTTTTATTTTATACTTTGAGAATGCTGACCTTGTGACGTCAGCCACATGGTTTGAGCTATTTTTTCTTTTTTCTAGATGTTGAACACACTCTTACTTCAACTTAAACAAAAAGTTAATTATATACTGTGGCAAATAATTGAAAAAATGTTGCAAATAACAATGTGAAAAGAGCATATCGCAATAATTTGAATTATCAATTTCATAGAAAAACCAAACGTTTAGCTCAATGATAAAATAAATAATTAGGTGACCAGTAACCCACACACCTTATCAGGATAATTGATACAATAATAACAATACACAATGTTTATCCCATCAACTTAATTGTGAAGCGATAATCACAATATATTTTGCTAAACGTAGTTCACTTAAACTAGTAACTAGAAGTTAAACAATAGTTAGAAGTTGTCATTTATAGAATTATGATTAAAACAATTAAAATTATATTCATTATTTCAACATTACTATATTCGTCCCATTGGGTTAAATCTCTTGATATTCCTGTTGTCACTCAGATCCAAGATATCATAGGACTTGCTCATGACATTGGTGATATATTATCCGGAAACATTCCGCTTCAAAATTTATTTATTTCTGAAGAAAACCCGATAGATAAAGTATTAAATAAAATAAATGGTATTACCACTCAAATAGAGAAGTTGGATATTAAATTAGACACTTTGTTAGAAACAATCATCAATCGACTTCCATTGGAAGACAACATCAACAGTGATGTACGGAACTTACAAGAACATATCAATAGAATTGATACTGTATACGAAGACTTCTTGGCATATTCTAAAAATATATCGGCCTATCGCAATGAAACAATCTTGGAGTTTATTTCAATTATTACTTCAGCTAAAGCTGGAAACATCCCGGATATATTGAACAAAATGTTCAATATAATTGTGCCCAAAAAATCAGCATTGAATCGTATGAGTTTTCTAGAAAATCTGTTGTCACGAAGAATTGTAAGAGATTTTGTTTATATAGTAACATAATGATAATTTTTATAATTATATGAATTTTTGTTCAGATCAGTAATCCTTTGGAATTGTGTGACTCTTCAATTTCATTTCAACACCGGTTTCTTCAGATTTATAATCTGATATCAATTGCTGAAACGAAAGTATTTTTGATGACTTCGTTTGCTCACAAGGTTCAAAATGCATTTCAAAAAAGTAAATATTGTTTATAAAGTTTATTGAAACGAAGTATGAGTTATGACAAATTTAATTAACTTTGCATTTTTTATTTTTTATCCCTAAGAGTTATTACATTTGATTAATGCTAATTAATCGTATGTATTTGAAATAATTGTTGGGTCTGATTAAAGGAAGCCAACCTACAAAAAGATAGTTTATTGATTAACTACCGTAAATTGTTTAAAAAACAGCGTTTTTTTGTGCAAAAAATTAACTATCGCGAGTACTAATAATTGCAGAAAGTCGAGATTGGTCTTATTTTATTCTTTATGAAAATTCTATAAATTATATGGAAAATATCTTGATCTACGAAGCGTTGTTTTTGAAATATTCAATCTAAATAAGCTGTTTGATCACCAATCTCTTTGTTGTAACTAAAAACAAGCTACAAAACTGAATAAGTTGCTAGACTATAGAAATTAATAGAATGACTATTTTCAGCTAAATCAAAAGGTGAAATGGAACGATCTATGAGTGCATACATCATAAGATTAGAGCAATATTTAATTGAGTTTAGAAAAAACATGATGAAAGCTTCACGAGAAATTTATCGCTGTGATCCTAAATCCCTTACAGATAGTAAGCCTAAGCATTTCTAAAAAATCCTCAATTGAATTTTGATTATGACTGAACGATTTTTATTCAAAATTTTGTAGAAGAGATGTATCTAGAGCTTGAAGGACTCTTTCAAGCTTATGTGATGAATGAATATGAAGTAAATATGAATCCTTGTTCAACTACTTGTCCTCAAATTTATACATGGGTCCATCACCGCTGTTACAAACTCTATGATGAAAACTACTGTACTATGCATCCTTGCAAAGGATTGATTCATGATTGTGGTTGGATTGGTGGAGATGTAGACCTTTGCGAATATGTAAGTATATGAAAAAAAAGTATGCATCAGTGAAAAACGGATGATATTTAAAGTAAAACTTTTAAAAAAATGCAAATTCATTATTAATAATTGCACTAATTATACATTATTCATAATTATGATTTACTGATGATTATTATACTTATGTGCTTGACGACTATAATCGGCATCTCCCATTTGTGCGAATTTTCGTAAACTTCTCTGTTTCTATCACTTCATGGTTGAGCAATAAGCTACACGCAGAGAAATGTATAGTAAAAATTACCCTAAATTTTATGGTAATTTGGTGACACTGCAGGGTGACGGTAAAAATTACTATACACATTGTAGAAATTATTGCGCACATTGTTGAATTTACTAAACTGCATGGTTATTTTTACTCTAATTTCACCCTAAAAATTACTATGCAGTTTAGTAAATTTAACAATGTGCACAGTAATTTTTACAATGTGTATAGTAATTTTTACCATCACCCTGCAGTGTCACCAAATTACTATAAAATTTAGGGTAATTTTTACTATACATTTCTCTGCGTGTAGTAGAAGAAGACAAATAGCTTAACAAATGTCCGTTAACTCGATAATTTAATAAATACAAAATGCAAATGTGATATAACAAGGAAATAACAAGTTACGTAGCTTTTTTGATTAAAAGGAGACAGTTACATAGAATTTGAGTTTTATGTTATGTTCAAAATTGTTACTTCTATGTTAAGCAACAGTTACATGGTATTGTGACTGTAATACAACGTCACAATTATAATTGCTATCCTTGGTGGAACAATCTAGTAGAATCTGCCAGAATATAATTGAAATCCATAACCATTTTATTAGAATTTATGAGTTCTATTGGAACGTAGTTCGCTTTCAATAGAAAAATTATAAGAACGAATCAGAACTTACCGGTGATGCAAAAATTCGAAACTACGATACAAGTATTATAGAGAATAAATGGGAAAACCCTATAGGTCCTAATAAGAATAAAAGGGAAAATAATATTTTTTATTTCATCGTTCATTTGAATAGTGAAGGTGAAAATACTATTACACTACAAGGGAAGAAAGTTTGAGTTTCCTTCCCTGCGCACTATCTTGCCCGAGGCGAAGCCTCGGGCAAGATGGCGCGCAGGGCAGGGCTCTCAAACTTTCTTCCCGTGTAATGTATACTATTTTTCTTGCTACCCGGTCGAAAGTACGGAACAATGACATTTGTTAGATAATAGATATTGATGCCTGCCCCGACATTTGCAGCATGAGCGAAGCGAGTGTTGCTGGTCGGGGGCAGGCATCAAATCAAATACTTCTACAAATAGAGCTTACATTTTAAACATTGCTATTTATTCGTATTACAATTACAAATATTTTTATAACAACTGAGATAATTTTATCAATTATAGCTTAGATAGTAATAGTCATTTTTTAAAAGTAATTATCGACATGAATATATATTGTATGCATTCAACTAAACTTACTGTTATAATATATTGACTTTTTATTTTCATCACAACCATGAATATTACTTCATAACAGCCGAGGTTACTCTATCTATTACTCTATTATTCTATTATAGTTTATATAATAATAGTTATTTTTTAAAAATAATTATTAATTTGAACATTCATCGATTATTGCCTAACAGTAATATTATAATTTTAAATCTTTTAGATCGTAAATATTTTACTGTATTATTCATTTGGCTCTGGATTTTGCTTATTAGATGAATAAAAATTATTGATTATATTTCCGTGAAATACACAGCTCTCGTACATCACATTAGGAGTCTTGCTTGAAAACGTTTCCGTAAGTGCAGACGCTGGTTCATCAAAATTTCTTGATTTAGTTTCTGATGTTTCTTGTTCGACTTTATTTTCACTAGTCTTAGACTCAAGTTTTCGTTTATTTACTATTAAATTATTAAATGCTGATGTCGATTTTACATCACTGTTTGCATTATGCAATTGCTGAAGCTTAATCTTCTTTTCTGGAGGTTGATTTTCTTTTCCGTTAGAAAAAACCGAGATTGGTGGTTTTTTCAAAAAGTGGCAAGGTCGATCTGTTCTAGGGTCAGAATTTATTATTATTTTCTCATTATTGGCTGTAGTGAAGGAAGGTGGTGATGATACTGGGTTTTCTGATATAAACGAGTTATCAATTGCCGTCAAAGTGGCATCATCCAAAACAATATCTTCAAAACAATCTTCATCATTAGTTTCTGTTGATACAGATTGATCATTTTGAATTAAAGTTTCAGAATTAGCTGGATTAGTTTTACTTGTAAATTGTTGAAGATTTTCATCTGACGGAGGAACAACTTGAGCTGCATGAGTAATCTTATTAAAGATTTTTTGTCTATTAAGCAAGGAGTTTTCAATATAACCTGTAAATATATAGATACAAACATATTATTTGAATTATTCACAAATAATTAACAATTACAGTTTTTTTTAATCAATAAAAGAATCACCTTCTGCGATATTTGCCGATTTCCATCCTCCCAATTGTTTCAACATTGTAATACTAGCACCAGAATTTGATAGCAATGTCGCTGATGTCCTGCGTAAGCAGTGTCCAGTGTAACGTTCTGGATAAGCCAATTTCAGGAACTCAGCGATAATTCTCGGAATTTGACCTATTTTATTTTTCCCTATCGGTTGTCGAGTACATTTGCCTTTTAAGAATTGCACAAAAAATCTCCCTGAATCAAAATCTTCAGGCCTAAATGAAATATAACTTTTTACTTGTTCATAAAAAGGTGGTCCGACTAAAAATTTACGAGGAAGACCATTTTTGGAATCATTTATGGAAACAAGGTAATTTCCATTAATATCTTCGACGTCAGAAACTCCAAGCTCTTTCAATTCCTCGCATCTCGTAGCTCCACAAATGCCAAAAATTAAGACAACCTTAAAATATAAAAATAAAGATAACAATAAAGTTAATTAATTAAATAATCAATACAATTTAAATAAATATTTATAAGTACATACTTTATGGGCTAAATGTGTGTTGTCTGGGGCATTATTTATGAAGCTGATTGCCTGGTCCCACGTTAAAACAGCAGATTTTTTCGACTTATGACCTTTTGCATTATTTTTAATAAGTCCTTTTAATTTGTAAAATTTACTTATGTCAATATTATTATTTGCATTCAGTGTTGATTTTAACATGGAATGGATACTCCACAATGTAGCTGGGCATAGTTTTGAGGATAAACTTTTAAAATAAACAATTAAATTATTTTCCTCCGACCCAGATAACGAATCCTTATTTTCTTGTTTCCAGTTCATATAATTATTATAAACCAACATATATTTGTCGGCAGATTTCTTTGGTAGAGTATCATTCTGCACAATTAATTGTGTTTCCGCATCAAAATTCTTAGTGACCTCTTCTTCATCACTAGACTCGTCGGACGATTCATGCATTTTTTTGCTTCTTATACTTTACTTTACTTTCACTACACTTTATTGATTACAACTCTATGAGTATAATTTATTAATTAAAATTAGCGTTTAATGAGTGTGAACAAAATGTGAGGTTATATCATTGCAAGTAAACGTCGAAGTTATGGATGCACGCGTCGCGGGTTCTAGTGGTAGTATTATAGAGGGGATATTTTTACGTATGTATTGTGTGTCGGTGTACGCGGCTAAATTTTTACTCCCGCTATGCTAGATGGCGCGCGAACAGCTTGACCAAGGAATAAAAATTAGATTTTCTTCTTTGAAACCAGGGATCAAAATACGTACTTTCGACCGAAGTAGTAAGAAAATAACATTTCTTGATTCCTGAATTGATTTATAAGAAATGAAAAAGTAACACCGTTTGATTCTCTGTCCGACTGTATACGATTTTTTTTTAATGAATGTCATCAGATTGAATAACAACTTATTGGTAATTTTTATTGACATATTAACTTATTCAATGTGATGACATTCATTCTAATAGAATCGTATAGAATCAGTCAGAATATCAATCGGTGTCATCAACTAAAAATTCTTATAGGATGTTGTAAGTAACGGTCCCATAGTTTCTCATAAAAATAGTTGATATGTTGAAGAAATTATTTACTAATAAGAATTTATTGATTTCCTGCAGAAATTGTTCTAATGTTCTCCTTTTAAATAAAATTCATACCATGGAACAGTGGGCTAACGATGTCATTTCTAAGTTGCACTCTAACTGTGATATCTTTACAAATGACAATAATTCTATTTCTCCTTTGAAATATTTGCTGGAAAGCAAACTTAATTGATGTTTAAATTCTTCTAAATATTTAACTCTATCAGATAAGGCGGAAGACATGTTTGCATGTTCTAGAATAGCGCAATCGGTAGCGTACTAGACTGTGAACCCAAAGATGCCAGGATCGAATCTCACCATAAACAGGATTATTTCGGACGAAGTTTCTAATAAATTCAATTTCCGATGCATATTTAATTAACAAATCCATATAAACAAAAAACCTCCAGAGCGAATTAAAATTTCTTTTTGTTTAACTGATTTTTTTTTGTGGTGAAAGGATACATCCAAGTAAAGAAAAATACAGAACGTGCTTATAGATTCTTATACAAAACGATCAAAAAATTTTCAATAATTTCTTATGAATTTCATAATTACTAGACATAGTAATAGATTTATCTAAACTTTTTTGAATTTTATTTCATCCATTACATCTATACTATTACAATATTTTTTATCTAAAAGTAACATCAGAGTTACATTTTCCTCAAACATAACAAGAACATAACGATGTTTCATCACATTTTTACGTTTATGAGTGGGCAATTGAAAGTTACATGTGACTCACATTTATGTAACACGTAACTTTCAATTCGGTCACGGAGACATAAAATTTACGGCACAATGTTCACTAGGGAGTTTATTCTTAATTTTAAAACTGGTGTAGTTTTTCATGATAAGTTTCACTTCTACAATATTCTTCACTCTGTACAGCAAATACTCATTGTGATAAGTAGTTTAAGATAATTCAAGTATTGAGCAAAAATCTGTAGGATGATATCATTCGTAAAAAAAATTTTTTTTTTTTAATTATTTTAGCCGGAAAATTATTTAAAACGCTATGACTATGTGAGGTCCTACACTAATGGATTCTATGGAAAGTGGTCTACATGCCCAGACTCGACTTACAGACAATTGAGTGGCAGACGTTGGCATTGGTATTCATGTGATGTATGTATTTGTAAATGTGAGGAATCCTTCGGTTCATCCAGAGCCATAAGAACCTTTAGTTTGCGGCAACAAGTCTCCAACATTAATGAAAACAAGTATCCTTCTTTGAATTAATCTTTCGAAAAGTATTTGTGAAGTTACATTAAATGTACGTATTGATGATTCTAGAGTTATATCAGACGTCAAATTTACTATGAAAGACAAAATGATTCACATCCAAATTGAAGAATCACCACTGCTGCCTATTGGTCAGGTAGATAAGAATCAATCATCCTGGGTTCTTTTAGAAGATTTTGTGTATTTATCCAACATTACTGATGGAGGTTACATCCAAGTAAAAGATGGCAAATACATCCCCATGACACGGGACACAGACTTTGCATTCATCAGAAGAGATCAGAGAGTAATTAATCTTGATGAAATATCAGGTGGACCGAATTTCGTCTTGACAGGAGTCAGGTTGCGTCATGAATCTGAAAAATATAGTGACGATGAAGCAGCTGGAAACATAAGTCCAATCCAACTGGAAATTCAAGTCACACCGTACGATTACATTAATGGTAAATTGATGCCCACCGAAGAGAATCCATCAGTATGGATCACGGCACTAACTCAGCCTAAATTACCACCAGCGTACGGTGAAGAAAGGTATGAGAATATTTTTTTAACTCTTAGAAAATCTGAAAAAGTCTAAAAAGCTGTTTTCTCACAGAAAACAATTAAAAACCGGTGACAAAAGTTATCGATATGACTCTGTACAAAACCGTCCTCATGTGAAACCGAATCAGTTTGTATCATTTATACAGTCATCTATTTTCGATGATGTTGGCCAAAGCACGGTACCTTTCATTGATGCTAGACCTGTAGCACCTATTAATCCTATCGCACTCGATGGTCTTGGGATTATGTACCGTGGACATGAAAAATATGGAGGATTTGTAGCTATGAAAGCCATGTCCATAGACTTGACCAGTTACATGGATTCATCAATGACCGAAGAACAGCAAAACTATCACACAAGACATTTCCGTAAACCTATACCGAGTCCAATTCGTAAGGCCCGAAAAAAAGGTAATCAAGGAATTTTGTCTAGCTTTCCATCTTCCAGAAGAGCCAAAACTTCACAGCATTATTACATCGATGATGATTATTAGGTACCGTTAGTTTAACATTTTGTTCAATAATATAATAAAGATATTGAATTATATGAAAAGAAGTTCAAAATTTTTTTTTTTGATAAAACTATTAAACAAATAATAATTTGTACATGGTTAATTCACTAACTCATTTGATTCTCGAAATTTATATATGATTTATATATTTATATATCTTTCCTTCAAGGAAAAGAGACGTCATCCCTACTTTTTTTTTCTTCTTAATGCCATTTTTTTCTCGTGGTGCATATTCATTGGTGCACTAACGTGAAGTTAGGTTGTCTCTGTTGTAAGGTTATGTTGTATTTAGAGAAGGTGCATGTTTTTTCAGTATCAAATGAATAGAAGTATAAATATTCAATAGTTTATTTATTAAAAATATCTGGTAAAATAAAAAAAAAGTGGCACACCCCCTTTTTGCAAAAATAATTATACTTAACGATTTAGAAAGAAGATGCACTGATCGCGATATCACCGAAGAATTAAATGTGCATGTGAAAACTGTTAGAGTGTGGAAAAAGCCAACAATAAAAATCAATAACTTTTTTGGTAATGTGAAAGAGAATACAACCAAAGAACAGAAAGCAATTCCTAAAATTAGGTATAAAAATATTGATACGGTAGTATGGCAATGGTATACTCAAAAACGACCCTGCAGAATTTCCCATAGAATATCAAATCTGTTATCAAGCTTCAAATATCTATAAATATTGTAAAATATTTGTATGTCGCCATCTAATGACTATTAGACTAACGACAGTTTGTTAGTTAACGACGATTGCTTGACGATTAGATTGTTTATAGCAATGAGGGAAGTAGATATATAAGGAGAGTTCTAGATCCACCTGCAATACCGGCCGAGGTGAAAAGTGGGTTCTGATCCGCACTAATTACCGACCGCGGTAACTTCTGGCGGTAAGTTATCGACAGCGATAATAAGTTATCGTCAGCGATCATAAAGATTGCGATTTTTTTTACCAATTGCGATTGGTGATAAATTATCTTTCGTGATAATATCGGCTTCGATTGGCGACAAGTTACCGACAGCAATTTTTCACTGACTTTGCTTATAATTTAATTATCAGCAAAAAAAATAACCGTAGAAAAAAAATGGCGGTAACGTGTCTCAAGGATGTTAGATGATCAGAGAGGTTTTAAAGTAAAAACAATTTCTCTTTCGGGTTAATCCTTTTTTTATAAAAAAAAAAAAAATTACAATATATTTTTCTTTTTTTTATAAAAAAATAATGATCCCTTGAATGATGGTTTCCAAGTAGCATTAATCTACCTGTAAGAATCGAAATAATCTCCATTAATAACTTTTTTCATGGAAGTAAAACTAGAAAAACTAATCATAGAATAAGAGTTAAAGTATCATAACCATTATCATAGTCAGGGAAATTATCATCATAATTACCGTCATCATCAATTGTTGGAGGTGAAGGAGGTAGAAATTCTACCTCACTATCCTCCGATGACACAGTCACTGAAAAAAGAAGTAGAACTTCTACCTCACTATCACTGTCTTCGACAGTGATGATTTCCTGGCTCGGAGGTGGTGGCACGACGGAGATGTCTCCTTCTATCCGGAACCATATGACGTTACCGAAGAACGTTAGGCAGGTAGCCGTCACGCCACAAAGTGTGAGGATAGCGCCTTCTATCCTTCCCGTCCCTTCCCAATGATCTTCAAGTGTCATTAGAATACTAATTTCTAGGAGGGTGATCGGTAGGTCGAACCAGGCCTCCGGGAAAATAAAAGTGCACATCTTTTTCTAAAAAGTAATAACGATTATGATAGATTCTTTTTAAACTTAAAAAAAAATTTCCCCATTTGATATATTATTATTTAACAATTCATGAAATTCACAATTACACTCAATAAATAATCATATTAATGTATAAAAATTTTAAAAAAACACACTTTTTATACTTAAATGAAGAAAAAATCACTACTTACTTGGTATGGTTTGATCAGTTTGACCGTCGAAAATGAACTGAATATTTTGTCCTATGCATCATACACCATGGCTAAATGTTTATATTTTTTAAATAGGCCAATGATGGAAAATCATTGAACGATATTGACTTAAATCTATATAGAGAGGCCTTGATCACATCACTCAGCATCGAATTACAGATAGAGAGAAGAATTCGACAACAAGAAAAAATTCTCACCAAAAAAAACAATTTATAAATGACATTTTTTTTTTCAATTATTAAAATAGTTTGTAAACGATCTCTACTATGGATAAATAATTTTAGACACAAATTTTTTCGATTGGATTTTTAATTAAACGTGTTTTCTTTGTCGCTCATGCCTCTGCTATCTTCTTTTCCTCGCTCCGCCACCGCTTCCTCACTTTGTCTATACTTTTATTCTTCGCTAAGAAGCTGTGATTCATGCAAGAGTTGAAAGGGCCACGTGTCGAAAAATAATCGACTTATTTTATTTCATTTGGAAACGTTAACATTTGACTCAGTCGGTCGACTGCATCATATTTTCCTCACCCTTATCTCTTTTTCACTTTGTTTATACTCTCATTCTCTGTTACTTATTGAAGTAAGACATAAAATATATTATAAATAATCAATTGTAATATTTCATTTACTGTATGAGTAATCATAACTGAACGTATTTTAAATGTAAAAAAATTATTGAAACGAAAAATTATTATCTTTTTTCATTTTATATTTCCTGAACTACGATTCATAATTATTTACGTCAAATGACTTCTTTAACAATAATAATAAGATTTTTATCTTGAGAAAGAATTTTTATTTAAGAAATAAAGATTATACATTTTATTTTATGTATTTGAATGAGTGTTTTTTTTTCTTTTTTACAATATATACAATTAATTCTTAACGTTCTCGTACGGTCTAATGGCATGTAACGTTTGTAACATTTACGATGCAATAAAATATCTCTATCCAGTTGAAAAAAAATACTTTGGAAGACAAGCAATATCTCCACTTGACATTTTTGTTATATTTTTCAATAAACAATACAATTTAAACGACTTCTTAAATGGGGTTTTTTCATGAAAATTCACTATATACCATGCTTTTAGAATTTTTACATTCTTTTCTGCACATTTTTTATTTTCTCCATTATGCACTCCACAATCTCTTAGATGATCCATATCCAGAACATGTAGCGAAGGACATCCAAGCTCATCCAAATTAATTACAACTTTTGAGCTGTCAATTGAACTTTTTAACCATTTTTTCTTTTCATCTCCTTTCACGTAAATACGTTTTCGATCTTTGACAAGTGTTATAACCTGGATTTATATTTTTTTCTAATATTAATAAAAATATTAATAAGAAAACAGTGGAAGCAAAGGACGTGGAAGTATCAGGAACACAGATAGGAAGGAAGGTGACCAGGTAATGAAAACTTACAAAAAAATCAATAATAAAAAAAATAGAGACGCAAGGAAAAAGGTGTACGCCATGACAGCTCAGGTGAAAACCATGTAGGGGACATAGAGCTTTGAGGCGCATGCTAACTAAGCACAGGTGAATCCTGCGTGGAAGAGTCCTACAGCCAAAAAGATGCGCCGGCCACTAGACAGAAAGAAGAGGGAAAAATTGCGTAGATGATTGGAGGAAATTAGGGCTAGGCCTAAGTAATTAAATTAATTAAAACTTTGGATTGGAGAACGCTAATCTAGAAGCTTCTGAAGGATGTGCAAAAAGCACATTAAAAAGCGCGGACTTGGACACAAGAGACACTCTCTTCCGAATTTTTACTGGGCACGGTGCGAATCCAAACTCAGCTTGATTTTGAACTCAGAATATTTGATTGATTAATTCTTGATACAAAGAATCAACTTTAGAATTTAAGCATAAAAATTTATTGAACTTGAAATTTAGTCATTTGAGATTAAATAATCCTACATGGATTTTCTCCCAAATAAATTGCATATTGAAATTCATTTTTCTTTATCTCTTAACAAATATTATTAAAAGAAAAATCGCGAGTGTAAGAAGAAAGAAGATCAGTCGACTAGAAGACTTTAACGAAGATTTTCAACGAGGCAACGACAATCTTTTACCAAGACAGCCATAAAACCATAAAGTCATCTCAACAGGGCCGAAAGACACCGCACCAACGCCGAGAGCCGAGAATCGAAGCGTCAACCAAACCAAGCAATTGCAGCCTTCCACTCGTATCCAACCTTCTGCTACCTAGCTATCTGTTAATCAAGCTGTAAAACAATTTAGTGAGTAAAAAGATGACAGAAATACGATAAAGAAGTGACTATCATGAAAACGAATCTCTATCTTTCTTCGAGAAAAAGAAATGCACCAGTGCGGTTTGTAGAACACTAAGAACCTTTCCTATTTCTTTAATACTCCATCTAAAATATATTCTGCGTGGTCTCCGCACTCAAGTTGAGTAGAGGACGATTGGGTCTTGACTCGAAAAAGAGACTATTCTGTTACCGAGACGTAACACAAGTACAGGAAGAATATATGGAAGTTCCTCATATGGTAATGTTCCAGATTTCCATGGAATGCCATGATAATTACGTATCAGCCACGAATTTATGCGTTCATATTTTTCAGGTAAAAAATATTCCCACTGATATGGCTGTTTGAAAGTTAATACTGAAATGTCTTCCATACCATCACTATTATTGTGGATTGTAATAGTCGCCAATTCTTTCACTAAAAACCGATTATTTGGCTGCTTGAAACCTTGAACATCCAATATCATTTCCATGATGCACGTAAAATTTGTACACATGCCGAAAATGTAAAACCCAACTGAATAGTTTTACGGTAAATCATCTCTTTATATGTTCAGCCCCACTTACTGAAATTATAGCATCTAATTTTATTGTTTGATCACTACAACGATTGGCTATACAATTGTATTTTGTAGGATTCTTTTTTACATTACATGTAATTTTTGTCAGTCTGAAATGTTCAGCAAGAATGATGAAACACCATGCCTCCCCTCCTTAAGATATTTCTTGGAAAATCGGGCAAGAATTTACATGATCTCAAGGCTGATTCTCAGCCTTGACATGTTCTGGAAGTTTTCTGG